AATTGCCTAACAATGCATTTCTCAGAACAGATCCCCATTGTTAGGCGATGCATGACTATAATTTATAGGTTTCAGTATTCACCTTTACCTGAAACATCATGTAGATCTGATTTTGTAGATGTATGCACATGTGTACACTCAGTTTCACACCTCCATTTCTTTGTATGTACCTTTTTTTTCTATGTGGAATGTTCACTTTATTTTCACTTGTGTCAAGTGCCTCTTTATCTCTAAGATCTCCACCAGTTGTAACCTCCATTTCTTTGTATGTACCTTTTTTTTCTATGTGGAATGTTCACTTTATTTTCACTTGTTTCAAGTGCCTCTTTATCTCTAAGATCTCCACCAGTTGTACTTCCCTTGGTGAAACCTCCTTGATTCTTATAACCAGGTTGCTGCTTCCCTCTCTATTCCCAGAGCAGTTTGTTCCCATCACCATATCATGTTTTTATTTGCTGGCTGATAATCTGTTTCCATTTTTATAACTCCCAGTTGAGTGTGTGCTTTACAATGGCAGGGACTACATTTTTCGATTTCATATTCTAGCACCTTACATGATGCATGCATATATTGAGTACACAGTAACTATTAAATGAATAAATGTTTATTATACATAGTGTATATGTTATTTATATACACTATCTCTTTCAAAAATGTGTTTAAGATGGTATATAAGCAGTATAGCAAATTAGAAGTAAATTGGAAGAAAAAAGGAGACTGGAAATAAAATGGGGCCAAGCATGAGCTAATTCGTGCCATGAATCTGTAAGTAAATGTGTAGTATGAATATACATGCATTTGCATGTACAAGGAAACACATATGAGGGTATTTCAAGAAATTCATGGAAAAATGAAATTAAAAGACAATACGTATTTTTCCATGAACTTTTTGAAGGCCCCTCTTATGTGCAAATTTTGCAGTATACATTTAAAAATTTATTCTGTCTGATAATTGCATCTTTTTTATTTTGACCTTGGAAAGATTTTTATTTTTCTAAGTTGTACATTTTGTCAGTATATATCTGGTGCTGAAAGGTTTCTTTGTGGAATGTTCATTAGTGCTAAGATGTGAATGTAATCAGTATGTGGTAAAATGGGATGGTCTCAGTCCCACTACTACGAAAATAGGAATCTGTAATATGACTGTGCATAGTGTTCTTCAGCTCCTGAAGATCCTGTTCCCTGCTCTTTTTCAGGAAGCACATAGCCATGGGGTAGGAATGCAAGAAAGCTAATTTGAAATAATGGCATTCTCTTGAAATAAATATCTTCGAAATTAAATGTAAATAAAAAGTGCCTGTGAATTCTAGCTTGCTCTGTGGGTGACTTGCTTACCATGTTTAAAAAAATGAACATATTAAGGTTTTATTCTTATTCTCCTGCTCTCAGGATTAAATTTATGCAAATCTAAGAAAAGGTTTTTTGGTTGTTCTTTTTTTTTTTTTTTCCTTTTTGTCTTTTTTCGTGTCCGGCAACGGATCGCAACCCTCAGTGTCGCGCCCGTACTGGACCGGGACCGGCAACGGAATCGCAACCCTCCGTGTCGCACCGCACCTCGCTCAGCCAGTGAGCGGGAACCGGTCTGTATGTGGGATCCAAACCCTCGGCGGGAGCGCCACCGCACTCCCAAGCGGTGCACTGTAGCAGTGCGCCACCGGGCCGGCCCCTTGGTTGTTCTTAATATGACTCTTCCTGAATCTTATTCTTTGCATGATTTTTTTAAAATAGAGAATTCGGCTTTGTTTGCTATGTTGTCCCTTAATTAATTGTTAAAATAATGAGGCCTTATTATTCTGGGTAATTTATTTAAGACAACAAAGCAGTTAGTCACTCACTGGCAGCTTATCAAAGGACGGAGGCCAAGATGCCAGCACATCTTTTGGTTTGCCAGCCCTTAGAATTGTGTGTTCCAAGGATTTGCTAATTACCAGCTGGCAACTGATTTACAAGGCGGGAAAGACAGGAGTGTTGAATGGTGGCCACTGACTCACAAGCAAGATGGAATGTGTACTGGCTTCAAGCCTCGTCTACTGACATGCAGATCTTGCTGCCAGGGGAAAGAGGACTTAATGATGGTGAAGAGCCTTTGTGCTATCTTTGGTGTGTTTGCCTGATGTCATCAGCACCATTATTGAACCTCACTTTGGTTTAGCAATTGAGAACTGCTAAGTAGAATATACTACTTTGGTTGAATTTGTCTCCCTGTCTGTCCTTTTGTACGCCCATCTGTCCATCTGTCCATCCATCTGTCTAATACTGGGTTTAAGCCATCAATGAATGGGCTGGGATTAACCTCTGAAAACATTTACAATTGGGGCTGGCAATCTTTCTGTAAAGGAACGGATAGTAAATATTTTAGGTGTGCAGGCTATACAGCCTCTGTTGCAACTCCTCAGCTCTGCTATTGTAGGGTGAAAACATCCATGTACAGTATGTAAATGAATGGCCTGGCTGTGATCCAATGAAATGTCATTTACAGAAAAATTGACTTGCAAACTGTAATTTGCCTGTCCCTGCTTTAGACGTTGGAAGTATCTGACTCAACATGGTTTATGCGCTACAATCCTTTAAAAAATGCTCTGATACTTACGTTTTCTAACACTGCTTTATGTTGCAGGTTTGTTAGCTTAATTATTATCTGCTTTGAGATTTAGCTACAAAAGTAGTTTTATAGGTTTTTATCAATTTCTTTTTTTTAAAGTATTAATCATTTAAAGAATATTTAGCTTTCTCTGGCACTGCTTTTAAAAATATCATTAGATTAAAAATATACAAAAAACAGGAATAAAATTCCCCACTACATCATTCATAACAGCACCATTAAATTTAATAGTTTTTACTTATAATGTGATTTTAAAAACTATATTTTGACATAGGCCCAACTGTTAAAGCCCATGATATGCTTGGAAGTTCTAATTTCTAATCATGATATATGAAGATGACCAGGATATTTTGCTAAGTGAAAAAAATGTATATTATAGAAGGGTTCTGAATAGTGTGTACAATGTGATTCTATTTGTGAAAAGAAAGAAATATAGATCTATGTACATGTATACTTGTATATTATAAATATCTGAAAAAATAACTGAATTGGAGTTTTTAGGGTTTTTAAAAAATTTCTATAATTTTTTTAAAAGTTCAACTTTGTTTTTAACTCCCACGTGAGTGAGAATATGTGGTATTTATCTTTCTGTTGTGTCTGACTTATTTCACTTAAAGTGACTTCCAGGCTCATCCATGTTGCTACAAATGACAGGATTTCATTATTTTTTTTATGGCTGAGTATTATTCCACTGTGTATACATACCACATTTTCTTTATCCGTTCATCTGTCATTAGACACCTAGGTTGATTCTGTATCTTGGCCATTGTGAATAGTGCTGCAATAAACATGGGAGTGCAGATAGAGAGTTCTTAGCTTTCAAGCAAATGAAATCAATTCTGTTGAATATAAGCAGAAAAGATTTATTGAAGGATAGTAAATAGCTCACAGATCTCTGGAACGCCTGAGAACCAGGCTTAGATACCATATATCTAGAAGTGATAACCAAAATAACTGGTTCTGCAAAGATGCCCCAGCAGCTGTCAGCGGGCATGGTGATGTGGTCTGAATCATGATACCACTGAGCCTGGATGCTGGATCGACCTCCCTGTTATTCTGGAATGGATTCTGAACAGTTGCTGTTCTTTTGTGTCACCAAATTCAAATTCAGAATCTGCTGTGGGTGTATTTGATTGGCAGAAGCCAAGTTTTGTGCCCTAGCTGCAAGGGAAGCTGGGAAAGCGAGTATGTAGAACTCATTTCTGTGGTGTACAAAGGCCTCTCTACCTTATAAGGTCAAGGATTTACCAAATATAGGAAGAGAATTCAGAAGTTTGGACCCTGGGAAGAATTAGAGCTGTCCACTGCAGACACCCAGAAAATTGTTAATGTTGATTACTTTTGGGCAGTGGAGTTGGAAGAGCTGACTGGACAGCAGAGGGAGGTTTTTGCTTTCATTTTACTCTTCTGTGCTATTTGAATTAAAAATAAATAGGGTATATAACAATGTAATAAAAGACTATGGGGAAAATGAACAAAATGAAATAATTTTCCCCAGCACTTCCACTGTTAACATTATTCTCACATAAGAACTTGAGAAGGCTTCCTAGCATAACTGGGCAATTTCATCAACTTGGTACTCAATTTCATTTTAAAACTCACCTTATAATTTCCTCCCAGATTCAGTCAACTCTATATTGCACATACTTGGCTGGGCAGGGAAATCATGAAATGGTTTTCCTTGATACTAGTGGCTTATTCTTCCTTGAAGCTTGTTAGAGCTGATTCAGGTCTACATTATTGAGCTTTGAAAATTAAGGTGGTGTCAGTTGCTATGGTTGATGAAGTGTTCATAGAGGCAAGGTGCCAAAATTAAATATATTTAAAAATTTGGTCCCATGTGCTTTTTTTTTCTGTTTTTCAAAACCTCTTAAATTTGCTGCTTGATAGAAAACTGGTCTGAGAACTTAATTCAGTCCAATAAAGTTTAAGCAAATATATTAACGATTATTTAAACTTTTTTTAAAGAGCAGTTTTATATAAACAGAAAAAGTACAAAGATAGAACAGAGAGTTCCTATGTGCCACAAACCCGGTTTCCCCTATTAACATCTTACAATAGTATGGTACAATTATTGCAATTAATAAACCAACATTGATACGTTATTATTGATTAAAGCCCAAACTTTATTTAGATTTTCTTAGTTTCTAAGTAAAGTCTTTTTTCTGTTTCAGGATAGCTGATATATTTCACACATTTATGTTGTATTTATTCATCTGTGTAGTAGTGTTATGGAGCCATATAATAAATGCTATTTCTGTTTTAAATAACTTATGGAGTTTGGGGAAAGAATAAATAAAATAAAGTTTTGCCACAACGAAGTTCTTATTATTCTTTCATATACAAATATCACATGAGAAAAAAATAACCTTTCATTTTTTTCCCTGTGTATATTTAGTGGAACAGGTTCCTATAGAGCCATACAACATTCCACTGTCCCAGGCTGAAGTCATACAGGAAGGGAGTGATGTGACCCTTGTTGCCTGGGGCACTCAGGTCAGTAATGTTGATTCCAACTGTTTAAGCCCAGGCTGTGCTTGGAAGTTCTAATTTCTAATCATGATATAGGAAGAACCGAAAATAATGTTTTCTTTATATCTCAAATTAAGTCTATTTGGTGCTACTGATGCTGATTTCTCCCCCCCCCCAACTTTATTGAGGTATAATTGAGAAATAAAAATTATACAAGGGTATTCAAAACGTTCTTGGAAAAATAGAATTAAAGATAATCTGAATCTTTTCATGAACTTTTTGAAGACACCTTGTTATATGTTCAAGTTATACAATATGATGATTTATTATATGTATACATCGTGAAATGATTACCACTATCAAATTAATCAATATATACATCACCGTACGTAGTTACCATTTTCACATGTGTGTTTGTGGGGGGGTGTGAAGACACTTAAGATCTACTCTCAGCAAATTTCAAGTAAGCAATATGGTATCGCTACTTGTAGTCAGCACACTGTATATTAGATCCCCAGAGGTTACTCATCTTGTAGCTGAAAGTTTGTGGTACTGATTTCTGAGTGAAGGTGAGGTGCCTATTTAGTCATATTAAAATACATAAGCTGATGGTGAAGTTGTTAGAAAGTACATTGAGAGTTTACAAAAATATATGTATTAAAAACACTTTTCTTTTGAAGCACATAGTACATGTCCTCATTACTTGTTGCCAGTGAGGTGCCTATTTAGTCATATTAAAATACATAAGCTGATGGTGAAGTTGTTAGAAAGTACGTTGAGAGTTTACAAAAATATATGTATTAAAAACACTTTTCTTTTGAAGCACATAGTACATGTCCTCATTACTTGTTGCCACACTTGACTTATGATCTTCTTTTTCATGCTGTTTCCTACATCTCTCATGATTACTTTTTTGGCCATGTGGACCTATGTATGCAGTGGTCCAGCCTCAGAATTCCTTTCCTTTCTCTTTCCCAGTGACTATTTGCACTGATCCACCTCAGCTTGGCCTAGGGCTTGTTGTCACATTGCTCTACATCCAAACTTTTAAGCTCAGGATTCTTTCTTTGGCCATAGACTTCTGTCCCTTACACTTCTCTCTCTTTCTTTTAAAGACATGGTCAGTTTTTCTTTTTCTGTGAAAAGGAAATTGTTGCTTATTTTAGAAAACTTAGGACAGCATAGTGTAAAGAAGGTAATAGAAATTAGTTGCAATGTCATAACCTCCTTCCCTTTTCCACTTCATTTTTGGCTTGGAGAGCTGCAGTGTTCATGGTTCCTCACCTGCAGTGGGGTAACTGCTGCTTGGCAAGTCTCATCCTGTTGGTAATGTCCACAGTGGTCATGCGAATCCTTTTTGCTCTTCTTCAGTCCACTTTTGTGTGTGTGTGTTTGTGTCTGGTTGGTATGGGGACCCAAACTCTTGCCCTTAGTGTTATAACACTAGGCTCTAACCAACTGAGCTAACTGGCCAGCCCTCTTCAGTCCACTTTTTAATCCACACCCCTGTCACCCTTAGAACATGACCTCACCTCTCTTTTCAAAAGGGAAGTTGGAGTGTATTAGGTACTAACTACCATAACTTGCTCTTTCTTCACCCCTACCACTTCTGCTGCTAATTCTTTCCTTCTTCCCTTTGTCTGAATAGGAAGAGGTATCTGGTTTTTGTAGCCACCTCTCCAAATTTGTTTTGAATTCCATATACCTTCTCCAGGAAGAAGTGATCCATCTCCATCCTGCATCTTCAGTTTTTCCTTTCATTGTTGCTTTTATTAAAAAGGTGTACATCTCTTCACTATCTAAAGAATGTCTTTCCGCTTAAATACTATTATATCTCCCTCCCTTCTTTTATTTTATTCTTTCTTTTATTACCAAACTATTTTCTACTGTTAAACACATTTTACACCATCTAAACACTTGAAATGGTTGCAACTGGCTTCAACAATATCCTAAGCCCTTATATTTGTAGTTGCCCCAGTTAAGAACAGTATTTCATATTGAAGTATTCGTAACTGCATGAAAATAACTTAATGCTTTTTGTAGGCATTTTTAAATCAAATCAGACTCTGGGTTTTCTTTCAATTACCAAATGTCCCAAATTATGGTTAAACTGGAGCTGACTTTTTGTTTGCAACATGTATCCCCCACTTATCCTGGGGTTTGTATTTTTAGATTGGATGGTGCTTCTGCATGGGGATATGATGTTTTGTCATGGCACAGTGGGGGGTACTGATATATGGTCAAGGCTAGCACTTTTAGAACTTTGTTTACATATTTTGTTTACGTATTTTACACACTTTGTTTACATATTTTATAAAAAGCATTAGCATATTATGGTAAAACACAAATATGATAACACCCCAAGCTGGTAACCATGAAAGCAAATAGAGATAGAAGATGAAAGAAGGGGGAAATTATTTATATCTATATCAATTTGTTTCTGCCCTCCTTTATTAAATCTACTAGTTGCATCTTTCTATGATCCCGGAATATAGATCCAGTCTCCTTAGGGCTCTATTCTACTGGGGAAGATGAAAGAGGGGACTAGAAACCTCTACTGAGTGAGAAAGTGATGTATCAAACCTCTGACTTGTTAGCATCATAATCTTAGTTTTGTGTTGAGATGCTTTCATCATGTTATTTTTCTAGTTGATAGCCCTCCGATTGTGATAGTGAAAGCTTGTGTTGAGATGCTTTCATCATGTTATTTTTCTAGTTGATAGCCCTCAGCTTGTCATTTCTTGACTACTTTGGGTCTATTTGTGACTCTCTTCATTGCTGATCATGGTACATCTCCTGTTTTCATGTATCAAAAGAGAAAAATTTGGGTACTTAGCTTTCCCCTCCAGAATTTGGAGATGATTTTAAAGAAGAGGGTCCTATTGCCAAACATTCCTAATAAAAATGAGTTTTTTGTTATTGTTGTTCTTTAACTAGAGTTAAGCTTTTTTCTTCATCTATGAATTCTATAGTAATCAAAATTTATGTTTATAATCTCTTTTGGTTAGCTGTGTTTATCGATTGTTTTTGTCTTATGACAAAATTAGATCTCTCAGTTTTAGTCATTATGTGTTAAACTCAATACCAATATGCATCTTTTGGAATGTCTAATCAAGAAAAGCCTATGAAAGGTAAAAATGATCTGTTGAACACATACATTAGCATAGTACACAGTAAAATGACTCTGGGGCAATTGAGAAATACATGCTTTTTGTTTGAGCCTGATGAAGTGTTTGGAAGTTATAAACCAAAAAAAAAAAAAAAAAGTTGCCTGGGAACAGAGAAAGTAGCAGAGTTTTTGAAGTTGCTCAAGGGAGTTACAGAATTGGAAACTTGAATGGGCCTAAGAACCACAGGCAGTTTTCCACCCAGTTCTGAACCTGATATGAAAGGGCTAAGCCTCTGAAAAGCAGAATATAGAAGTTCTTGAGTTGTGAGGAGCCTAAGAGACAGAAACATACTTTGGGACATGAGGGCGTGTGCATGTGTTTGTGCACGTGAGTGTGTGTTTGTGTGTGTGTGTGCGAGAGAGAGAGAGAGAGAGAGAGAGAGAGAGTGTCATGTCTTAAGAAAATCAGTGAGGAGGGTTAAAAGCCCTGAAATGAATGGTAAATTGATACTGATGATCTGCAGCTGCTCTTTACTTGGTGTCATCTGCTAATTTGGTTTCAACTAGAAGTTGAGAATCCAGGTGTACAGAACTCATGTTTTATGGGGCTGTAATAACAGAATCGGAAATTTGAAGGGTCTTAAACATACAGTTGGTCTTCCTGTTAAGATATTTGCCAAATTCTAAAGCTGTATGTGGTGGGAGGTAAGCAGAAAATATCTGAAAAGTGAAGCCATCGCTTGATACTGAAGCAGCAAAGACCAATCGTACTCTCAATTGAAAGCTGTGTAGAGGAAGGTCTATGATTAGAGGCAAGATAGAAGCAGATTGGGTTCTCCCAAACCCACGACACAGCCTCTAACCCTTCTCAGTTCCTTATTGCATTAATGTAATTTACCTTCTGCTCTATCTGCCCAGCAGAGTGAGGAATCAATCCTCCTCTTCTGGAACTTCTGTGAACCAGCATCGAATAAAATATTAGTACATATGTGAAGAGACAGGAGCATTTGATCAATAACCAAGAGAAAACAAACGATAGAAACAGAAACACAGGTGATCCAGATATTGGAGTTAGCAGACAAGAACTTTATGATTATTATGTTTGGGAGTATAGAGAAAAAAGGAGTAAAAGAGGTAAGAGGGTGGAGGATCACCCTAGAGAATTGGTGTGTATGTGTGTGTGTGTGTGTGTGTGTGTGTGTGTGTGTGTACATGTGCGTGTATGTATGTATATGAGTCAAATAAACTTTGTAGAACTATCAAAAATATCTGACAAGAACTCAGTGGATGGGTTTACAAACATTGGACTCAGTAGATGATACTAGTAATAAACTAGAAGGGAAATTAATAGAAAATTTTCAAACTGAAGCACAGAGAAAAGAAAACAATAGATTAAATCAGAAAAAAAAGCATAAAACACATTTGGGATCTGGCCAAAATAACTGTCCTATATATAGACAGAAGTAAGATGATGAAGATAGTATGAAAAATTTTACAAATGAATTTTGAATAAAATGGACAAATTATTCAAAATCAATAAAAGAGAAATTTAGAAAACCCAAACCCAAATATTCATTGTCTATTAAAGGAATTAAATTCATTTTTTTTAAAACTGGTATACAAAGAAAATCCCAGGCCCATATTACCTTACCAGTAAATTCTCTAAAACACAATCCTTATGCAAACTTTTATGGAGAGTGGAACCAGAGGGAAAACTTCTAAATTCTTTTTATAAGCCCAGCACAGTATAAGAAAGGAGATTTATAGGCAAAATTTTCTTATGAACATAAATAATATAGATAATGTTTACAAACAATCACAAAACAGTTGATGCAATTCCTCATATTAACAGAAAAGAGGAACAACGATCTGATGATTATCTTGATTATACAGAAAAACATTTGTTAAAATTCATTACAT